ATATTACTGGTCCTTATAAAATTTCCATCGATATAAATGGAAATATTGATGACAATGGTAATATGAAAATCACATCTAAAAGCAAACTTTTTCTCTATTACTATAGGATCTTTATTTACGTCGAAAGCAACAACAACAACAACAACAACAACACTCACAGGTAATTATTGGAAAAAAATATAGTTACTTCAGAAACAAAAAACACTTTATTTTATTCTAAATATTATGCGAATTTTTTTAAAATATAGTTTCGACAAATGATACACTTACTTGTTACACATGTATTGATTGTGATGAACCATTTAACTCCAATAATGTAGCAACGGTAACAGTGCCTGCTAATCAAGGATATTATTGCCGAGTAATTTTATTTATTTATTTTTATTAAAATTTTAACTATTTCATAATAAAATAGAAATCATCAATATTGACTGTCATCGATCGAGATGTGTCTCAATGGTGTGTTCAAGATAATGTAAATGGCAATGGTCTATGGTGTTGCCAATCAAATTTTTGTAATCATGCTAAGTCCATGACTTTAACAAGTTTTCTTATTTATCCTTTAGTTTTGATCTTAACATTGATTTTTCTAATTGAATAATTCTATTTGCTTTTCATTGTATTTGTTAATGTGATTGAAAATAAATTTCAATCATACTTTTTTGATTGATATATGTTTGTGAATTAAAAAAAAACTTCTTGGTTTGTAGAAAAATGAAAAGCGGTAACTGTTTAAAAAAGAAAATTTTTCATATTCTATATATTTCATAAAAAAAGAAGATGAATTCTTAGAATTTTGGTCCCTTTGAAAATATGAAACACTACAATGAAGATAAGAACGGAATGGAAGACGATTAATAATATTGTCCATATATCTTTTGATTCAACGTTTAATACAGCTCTAAGAACAAAATAAATAATGAGTTCCTTACTATGTCGGGTAAAACATATCATGCTTTTCTATACTCTTAATGATAGTTTTCAAATTTGATGATTCTCTGTCCCATAAATCGTTGATAAGAGTCCTTATTTGATATTTATTTTCTATTATAGTTTTTGATGAAAGAATGTAGATCGTATTTCATCAAAAAAAGAAAGGTTATATTAGTAAGAAGAATATTCTTCTTTTTGCAGCACAGAAAATCACATCTAAAAGTTTGATATGCTTCATATGAACTGTATGCTTTCTGCATAAAAATCTATCTTTCCTTATAATTAGACAATAGCTATGAAGATCTATTGTGCGGAAATTTATTAAAACCGTTGATTTATTTAATGACAGTATATAATAGATGTTAAGTTTACTGGAAAGAAGTCACAGTTAGGATGAGGAAGCTTGCACTCTCTATCTCGCGTCATACTTTTAGTCTTATTCTAGTTCTTAGGTGTTTCATTCAAAATCAAAATGAATATTAGAAGGTAGACGTAAATTCTGCCAAACTCATCTCTGAAATTTAGTAAATTGGGTATTAGTAGCAGAAACTAGAATCATTTTAAAATGTACATATCTTTAAGAGTCCAATATAATTGGTATGAACGGAATTTATTTAAAAAGTAAGGAACCACACGTCTGATTAGTGGTTCCCATTCGAAGGAATCCAATATGGTGAGTGGAAGAAAAACCAGACTGTTAAATACAACTTTTAGAAATCAAGAGTTTTTGGTCAAAAATCAGGATTTGATCAGGAGATTTTTCGAGGTAATCAGTAGGCAACCAGAAGATATTCCCATAAAATCCGATTACAAACACTGAAGATTATTTGGAAATCTAGCTAAAAAGCAGAAAATACCAGAGCGTTTTTTCTCAGAGAAGCAGGATGATCAATGTTACAAACTGTTGTCAATTGTTTTTATGAAGTTAGTAATTAGAATAATTATTTCATACGTGAAGTTTCGATTGGCAGAAATGTTTACAAAAAAGACCGATCAGAAACATACTGATAACCAGAAACTGAGCGATATCATGTTTGTAATCGGATTTTATGGGGATATCT